TGACTTTGGTGTCTCAGACTGAGACACATCGCTCAAAGGAATTGTCTGGAAGCTCATTGACACCAACCAACCTATGAGTTCTATGTGTTCTAAATGTCCTATGATTTGTTTATATTGTAAATATCTGAAAATGTATTATCTGTATATTCTTTGGCAACACTGTAATCTACCGGTCATGCCAATAAATCTGTTTGAATGTGTGTGGTCCTTGTTCTGATTGGCTTTTAAGACCTGATTCTAGTCAAGTATTTGGACCTTGTTAAGAGAGCTTGCCATTCTGTTGTTTTTAGGTACTGTAATTCTGATTTCCTGTATAGAGAATCGATAGATTAAAAATCCTGGTTAGTGGATGCATTTTTAGAGTAGGAAGATATAGTAGGTTCCTATTCATTTTGTAACTTCTGGGTTTATACATGGAAATATTTAACTGTAGGTCATATTCTGTTTGGTTTAGAAGGCAGGGTTATCTCTCTTGTTAGCCTGTGTGGGTGTTATACAGTATAGGATCTATATGGGAATACTTACAGTAGCAGCAGTCTGGAATTGTTGTGGTCGGTCAGTACTGTATGTAGACCTTCAAGACACCTTGTTTGAAAATAGAGTAACTTGCATGTTATATTCTGTTTTGTGTGTTCTAGGTATGTGTTATTGTCATTATTAATAAATATTTGTTTAATTCAATGTGCCTGATTTATTACTCTTTTCACCAAAGCTGTGCCACAGAACAAAGAACTTAAGTGCCACTAATTATGCCAACCCCTCGGGTCTATCCCTGCCATATCCTTTACAGCTTTGGGGTTAAGATTATTTATTTCAATTACTGACTAATCCTCGTGGTCTGTAATTCTCCATTTCGTAGCCACCTTAATGGAGGAGGCAACAGAGAGCAGAGCTGCTCTTCTGCTTTTTTCACATACATGTATGTTTATACAGTGTAGGTGATTGAAAAGTGCACATGCGGAAAAAAAAACACAATACTGTATGTGTTTCAGTTGGTTTTTAATCTACATATTTTGTATTTATAAATTCATAATACATTGGATTCATTCTGCAGTTAAGTTATATTTAAGGAAACATCATATACCAGAGCTTGATATGACTGGGTTTGCTATGAAGGGTGCTGAGTCACAAGGAGTAGGGGTCAAAAGAACTGTTGGAAAGCATTACAGCACAGTACAATTCATTGTTATGTGGGAAATAACAATATTTTTCTTTACATTAAAATCAATAGACTTGAAAACTGTGACTCCTTTTAATTTAGCCCATTAATGCCGCCTTTGAGTTGCATAACTGTAGGCTGTTGTCAAAGCTGATTTATTAAGGCTGTGTTAATTAGACCATGTCCCTAGCGTTTGTCCGGCACCTGGTACTGAAGGTAAGGCAGACAGGAGGGCTCTAGTGGATTTCATCCAGATCAAGCA